CCGTGTTAATCCCATTCTGGGCTGGGGAACGTTAGTCGGTGTGTAGGTGTGGTTCTGCACGGCAACTGCTCTTGGATCTGGAATTGGGAAGTTGGAATACCTTTGACATGGCAGCCATGAAGATTTTATTGGTGAGCATTATTCGCATGCTCCTGTGTACGTTTGTCGTGTTGAGTGTTGGGACCCGGGTATTTCTAATTCTCATTCGTATTATGTGCATTTAGGTAATTCTAATTAAGACAGGCGCGCCTATTTTTTTTTTTTCTCTCTCTCTCTTCTACCCCCTTCAATCTTGGGGGACCCGTGGAGAATCGGGGGATGAAAGGGAGGGGGGACACACACACGGGGGGAAATAGTGGAATCAAAAGTGAACATTTTGAAATGCAAAATCCGAAAAAGTCTGGCGCCGCTGCAAGATGCGCGGCGCCGGTGTCATTGTTTCCGAAATCCCGACGAAATTTCTTGACCTAACCTTACCCGGACCCCCTTCCCTGGAGTATTCCCTTACCCCTTTCCTGGGGGTATTATTCCTGGGGGTATATCGCAGTACAAACGAATCACACCTTCCTAGCCCCCGGACCCCCTTTCCTAGGGGCATTTCGCCGTGCTTTTCAGAAAGCTCACAGTACTTAGAGACATCGAGGTTTTGTGGACTCTTAAGAAAGGCAAACTTTGAATTTGAATTAAAGCACAACCAGTGAGGTCCCCAACTTCCCGACATTTACGGACACTAGTGAATTATTCTATTGTACTTTCCGCGGTATATGTAGTGCGGCTGCTTTAAGTGGTATTGCCTGCATTTTTATATATTTGTTGGAGATACCGTCATTGATTTCCAGCAAGATCCTTTTTAAAATGCTGTGATTGCTTGCTTGGATTTTGAACTCGGGATCCGGCTGATGCCAATATTTTTTTCGGACAATGTGGTTGGAGGTAGTGGGTAATAAAACCTATATGAAATTATAAAAGTATATAAATTAGGATATTTTAAAAAGATTCCTTCGCATAACCAATCGCGACGATTTTATTATGGATGTATTCCTCCATCTGCCGAGAGTCACGTGACGTACGTATGTTACCTAGAGTGGCTTTGTGACAGCAAGGGCCGCATGTCAATTGGGCAGCATATTGCACTTGATATTTCAAACATTTGCATGAATATTTTTCAATAATTAACCCGTTTGAAATTAACAAAGTGTAGGTAAAGCCCATGACGATTTTTCTTTATTCTTTAGCAGCAGGGAATGGGTCTTGGAGTAAGTGGAGGTCAGCCAAGGGTTATTGACTGACTGGTGTCTCGGTGCTAACTGCCGGTACTTTCCGTCGCGTCCTAGCGGTGCGTCGCCTTCGGCTTGGGTCGCTGGGGTAAATTTCTCCACGATGGCTCGGCATGAGCACGAATCCACCCACTTCAGGACGTAGGCCTCGCCCAATCTTTTCCACATTTTTCTGTCTTGCATTTTCCATTTCGCCTTGGCCCCAAATTTCGTTATTCCGTCACATCGTCATTGGCCTGGCCCTTGGCCCCTTCGTTATTTATAGCCCCCTGTGGTATAAGCTGCAGTGGCTTCGGTATAGGTCAAATTTCTGCCAGCCGCCTTTTAGACGAAAAATAACATATGCAAATGATAGAGCGAGTGATTCTAAGAAACTTATCTTCTATGAACTTCAACTGCAACTCAATAATAACGAAGTTATTAGACACGTAAGTGTCTTGTGCCCGTTATGAAGTACCATCTCAATATTTTAAAAATCGCCATCCGATATCCTTTCCTTCTTTTTGTAAACAAAACAATGATGCCGTTTCATTTTTGTACAATTATTCTAATCACCGAGATTCGTGCGTAGATTAAGCCCACATAACGGTACACGAAGCACATTATTAACAAACGCAATATTAATGATAAATATTAAACGTTAATTTCTTTTGTCTGTTGCATACATCGCCATTGAATCGGTGTACAATAACCGCGCGCGCAAACAAATTGCCATAACGAATGGGACCAGGATGACGTTGCGGGCATGTCACGGAAAAACTTCTGATGGGCGGGTCTCAATCTCAATAATAATGAGCGCGGGTAACGGAAACGACACGCAACGAGTGCACAAACCTTTTGATTTGACTCTATTTGCACATAGAAGGGGGCTCTAGCATTATTCCCATCGATAAACTGTTATATGGTAATTTTCTATTACGTCCGCATAACAGATATCGACGATTTTCGTATCGTTGGATTCCTCTCTCTCCACATTGCAAATATATAGTTTTTATTGTGCGGAAACCCCCCCGTTAGCGACAAACTTGGCCCCAATAGCAGGGGAGGGCATGAAAGGTTCCAGGGAAAATGCGGGGTTAAATTACACTAATAATATAACGCAGTGAAAATAACCATGGTTATTCACATGACTCCATTGCAGGGGGCTGTGCCCCCTGCGACCACCCTGGGGGGGGGGCTGCCGCCCCTAACCCCCACCGAGGAAACAAAACCTCCACCACGTATTCCCGGCAGGCTAGAGCGTTACACAATCATCGTCGATGTCGGAGCGGCGGACGTAATATTACAATTACCTCGTAAGATTCCCACTGAATCAGCATATTAACCTTGGCATAGTCAGCATTGTATATAGACGATTGTAGTATAAGCAGGATGAACAGGGTGGCCCGCCCTCGTCGGCGGGTTTTGCGCCTCTTTCGATGTTACACCGATGGCCTCAAGGTCGAGTTTCCCGTGCTCTGGAAGAACGGCATCCGTATTCCTAACCGAAATAACCGTCGCGTTCAGGAGGCAGTCATAGCCGCCGCGATGGCCGAGTGTGGAGGGTGCTCGTATTCGGAGACGGATTTTCTGCTTGAAATTGCAACTAGCCAGGAAAAATGCTAGATATATGCTTCCGCCACGGCCTCCTCCGTCGGGAGAAAGCTGTATCCTCCGGCCTAGGACCTCCTGCCGGACGCACCCTGCCTCCTTAACATTCTGCGGCAAAGGAGCACCCTCCCTACTAATTAGTGGTATTAATCAATCAGGTTAGTACCTTAAAATCTTAGGTTATTGTAGGTTATCGGCACCGCATCTAGTTCGTGTGCGCTCTATCCTGCCGTGAATGTGGTGGTTTCATTTCCTCGGCGGGGGTTGGGGGAGGCAGCCCCCAAGGGGGTCGCAGGGGCCGCAGCCCCCTGCAATGGAAAGCCATGTGAATAACCATGATTATTTTCACTGAGGTTATATTATTAGGGTAATATATATTACGTCCGCTGCTCCGACATCGTCGCCCCCCCTATCGGGGCCAAGTTTGTCGCTAACAGGGGGTTTCCGCGCAATAAAACCTACATGTTTGCATTGTATAGTGAGAGGAATCCAGTGATACGAAAATCGTCGATATCGGTCATGCGGACGTAATATAGAAAATTACCGTTAAATGTAACGTGCGACAGCAATGACTGAGAGCGGTGGCTCCAAGGGTGGACGCCATTTCCATGTGCGCAGCGCATTCCTACCCGATGTGAGCAGCGTCGCAGGTTTTACGTGAAATTGAAAATATAAAAAATGAGGTTAACCGTTTGTGTGACGCGCGGTGATAGAGGGAAATGGACACCGCCATCTTAAAGAGCGGAAGAAATAGTAGGATATATAGGTTAAGCTACAGCGGGCTGTTATTCACCTAATAATGACGAAAATGTAGCTCGCTCTTCAGGCTCATGGGCGTTCCCTCGCGGCAGACAGACGCGCCGTACGCTCGGGATATTGGCTATTTTTGTGTAATCAAGATTTATTGCTTTTGTATTGACATTTGATATGTGGTCATGTGATACTACATTCCAAATTTAGGATATAACATAATTATATCTTCCAAGACATCAGATGATATGAAGTAATTACATAGTTCTCCATACCGGTAATTGTTGAAGACCGCGACGCACCCTCGCAGAGACTGTTCCAAACGTGTGGGGGGGGGGGGTAGCCCTCTTCCTCCAAAGGGGGGAGGTGGTCCTCGCAGAGCCTAATTCCCTTGGGGGGAGGGGGAGGGATGAGGGGGATAAATCGACTTCACGAAGCTCCGTTGGGGGGGGGGGGGATGCACGATGTCAATAGCAACCTGTAAATGTCTAAATAAAATAAATACCACTTTAACATCTATACAAATTGTAATTATATGAAAGACGAGCCTAAATTTATATTACGGCAACAATAGAAAGCCAAACTTTGTCAGACGGACGCCGAATGAAACACCGCTAAATTAAACAAGCGCAAAACGTTATGCGGACGAACTCGATATATGATACACAATATTTTTTTATTATAACACATATTCGTAATCATACAAACCTGAATACCGAAACATAACAATAACCAACGAACTTGTGTCAAACCGTTAATAATTTTAAATAATGCGGATATTGTAAAATTCTAATTAAACACTTATTGTAACACGCATTTTATTAATATTTATGATTTATATTCCGTGCAATATACATGTGCAATTTGCCGGTTATCGTTTAAAACAAATTAAAACGTACTAACCTCCTGTTGTCGCGCCTCAGTTATGAGACTTCCCCGCCGGGTAAATTATAAGTAAGACACCCGCCCCAATTTCGTTTTTGTCGCCTACACATTTCAATCTTCAGGGGCACGTAGGAGACACACCCACGGGAGAAATAGTTTAATAGAAATTTAAAATTTAGGAATAAAATCGAAAGACGAACGAAACTTCGTCGCCGCTGCAACATGCGCCGCGCCGGTGTCCGTGTTGCCGATATCTCCCTGGGGGTATTTCGCCGTAGTTTTCAGAAATCTCGCAGACATCGAGATTTGTAGAAAGGCAACCTTTGATTTTGAATTAAAGCACGGCCAGTGAGGTCCCCACAAAATATCTAATTCCCCGGCATGTACGAACATTATTAAATAATTCAAATACACTTTCCGCGGCTGCCTTAATTAGGATTGCCCAAAATAATTTACCACACCCCTTATTAGCACGATGTCTAATATAACCAAATCACATTATCAATACATTTAACACATACCGTCAGTGCGGAGGGTACAGGCGAGCTGCGGCAAGGAGGAACTGATGGAATCTTTTGTTCTCCGCCGGGTACTTCATTTGAAATATGGCCTTAGCCAAGTACCCGGCGAAGTGGTATGTCCTCCTGCCGAAGCGGGGCACTTTGATCTTCGCTTCCCTCCATTTCCGCTCGATCGTGTTTGTGTGCGCTTTACTTTTGGGGTCAACAAAATTATATGAATGATTCACAGTTAAATGTTGATAGCCCTCTTTTTCTAAACAGTTGTATGCCTTCCAACAATCACTAATGACCGTTGTCCCTGGGTGGATACGCTCCTTAATGACGTTAAGCAAAGTGAGAGAGTCACGCGTCTCCACGGCAACGAGGAAAAAATCCCTACTCTTGCGGCATACTCCTCCAAAAACCCACTGACCTTCTATGACACGACCTACGTTATACTTTCGTTTACCAAATTTAGATTCATCAATCTCGACAATTTCCCCTGACCCACCAATTTTGTCGGATTGATTTTCAAAACACCAGAAAATTAAAACCTCCCGGCAGAAGCTCGCCCAATCGCAAATAGTCCGGTTTGGGAAATTAAACTCGCTCCGTGCAGATGCGTAAGAAAACCTCTCTCGCAGATACAAATTTACAAATTTTAAATTAGTTTCAAAATCGAGCTTACTATTATCAAACCAGGTGTTCTTAAAAAGTGATTTTTTGAAATTGCATCTAACTTTTCGATTATTATTTTTTTTTGGTCTTGTCGCACCTAAATGAATTTAAATTATCATCGCGACGGCATTCGCCGTCGCATTTTGGACATTTCATGGCCTCCAAAATGAGGCCATGTGTACGGCAAAGATCGAGCAAGAGGGAAGGCTGGGTGCCGTACTTTTCCCAGAAGTGCCCATACCTATCATGATATAATAAATTTTAAAAATGATCCATATATAAGCCAAAAATATTTTATATTTAAAATACATAAACATTTAATAATATAAATAATAAACATTTAAACTTACCCCATGTCACACTCCGCACAAAAATCACTAGTAGTTGCCATGACGGTGGCTTACAGGCAAGTGACTACGTAATAAGATTGGGTATTGTTCCGATTGGAAGGCAATTGATGTAACAAGGCAGTAGCATTGTTAGATTGTTAACAATCAATCAAGGTTATGATAAAGATTATAGTAATGGTAAATTAACCACATTACACAGAATACAACATATAATCTATAAGCATAAATTTAATTGAGGAAATTTCATTATAAATAACATAATGTATAAAAATAATTCGTAATCGGCAATGATTCCAGGTTGGTTGAAAGTGGTGCACCGAAAACGTGACCTTCATAGAAAACGCAATTATAGAAAATGGAATAACAGAAAATGAGACATATAGAAAACGAGCTTATAGAAAATGTAAACATAAACAAAGAACTCTGCCTGTGGAAGGATGTTTTGGACTTAGGCTCTGCGCGTTTAACGGTAAATATAAGGCCTGTGCATCTTAAGATTACTTGTATCCTACTCTATTTCTTCCGCTCTATAAGATGGCGGTGTCCATTTTCCTCTATCTACGCGCGTCGCGGTCTTCAACCTCTACCTCCATACCTCATGCTAGGTGGTCTGAAAGGCTGTATATCACATGGCACTCTGAGATATAATGTACAAGTGTTCACTTGTATTCTTCATTGCATAATTTAGTTTCTTCAACATTACAGACTGTACTGACCTGCCAGTACAATCTATATCCCAGCCTGGTTCTTGCGGTCACAATATCACACTGTCTTGTTCTTGTTTTGTATAAACCATAGATGAATACATCTTGCATAAACCGGTCATAGTGCTTTATGCTACAGCTTTCAGGCCGTTGAGAATTAATCAAGTCAGACAAGTCCTCTTTGAAGGAAGCTTTAATTGTGTGAAATCCTAGCAAGAGGTACTCCAAGATCTATATCCACACTTTGCTTGTCACATGCTGATTTTGCTAGGCGGTCAGCATGATCATGCCTGGGGATTCCAACATGCGATGGTATCCACACGGTTCTAGGATACTATGTCACGGGGAAACGATGTCGCGGACCTAATGTTGCCACATCGCGCTGTGACACAGCGTCCGTTTCGCAAGTGGATAAAATGTCGCGCGGAAGGCACGTTGCCATTTATGTCGGTACATCGCTGTTCATTGTCGACAGATAAGATTAGGAAGAAGTGTTGAAATTGCAGCGAAAATAATTTGGTATATAGAATACATAATAACACTAGTATGAGACATAACCATTTTTTTTTCTCTAGATAATGAAATATTTTGTGATGAGCATACCTTTATTGTTCAGTGGGGATCGCCATTACTTTGGCTCTTTGATCCAGATATTGCAAATCTACAAAGGTATGTTTCTAATTTTGTAATAAGGGATTTGATCCTCTTATTTACGAGCTGGTACTTCTGACCCGAGGGATGCTTCCTGCCAGCTGCAACTTCTGCACTCGGAAAATTCCTCTGGAAGGCGTTCATTGCTGCATTCTCAAAATCTGTCATTGTCACTGGATTGCATGAAAACCAGGCGGTATTAGCTTTAACACCTCGTACATTTTATTATATATCTCCATTCTTTCCTGACAAAAATGCATAGACGCAAGGATATGTTATACCACCAAAGTTTGCATGGAGAGAGTACTGCTGCGTGTATCCGACAGGGGCCACTTTAAACGTTCCATCACCAAACCAATGACGAGACGGCAAGAAATTTCGAATCAGTCTGCTGCGAAGATCATCACCCCATCTTCATAACGAAGGAAGGCCTCTCCGCTTAACGTTGTCCGAAATGGCTGAAGATCAGACACACCTGCCTTTTGCCGCACTCGCCTCAGCGTCCTCTTGATGGCGTCTGCCGTTGTATTAGATGAGCCGACTTCAACTCTAGCGTAAAATGTGTTGACAGTATGTGCGATGGGCTTTGCTGTTGCGGCAGCACGTTCCTCCATTGCTGCTAGTATCCCCTCCACCTCAGCCTTCCCAGGGACAGCAGGATGTGTGGATGGGGTTTTGCCACGTCACTATTTCCCCATTAACGGTGTGAACCCTGGCACCACAGGTTCTGTCCGCATCTCCACATAACTTTGTCCTGATCCCTTTCCTTCCTAAAGAGATGCTGGCCAGCTCTGAGTTTCGCAGTCGCCCGGTATGATGCTATGTGACAGGCCTCGGGACATTATCAAGAGAAGGTGGGGGAGGGTAATCCTCATTCAGTCCCTCGTACCATGAAACATCGAGCTCGGGGTAGGGTGGTAATGGAAGCTCGGTTGAGTTTTCTCCGTGCTGATTGATGTCTCACTCCTTGAAAATTCATTATTATAGCAAGATCACGTGTTGAAGCAGTAGCGGAAGTTAGAGCAATTAGGGAAGGTACGGTCAGAGGAAACCTCGCGCAACAGTCACAACGACATAGTGTCCGTCAGACACTGAGTCACCCCCGTCATACAGCTTCGCGACTTTCCTTCCAGGTCATAATGTCCGCGATACATAGAGACCGTGCACCGCCTAGGCTTAATATTACGCATATTCCATGATATGAATTTAATTGTGCGTCTATCCATATGTGAGTAGTGTATTATGTAATCTGTACTTCATGCACTTGTATCCATTGATATTACGGAATTTAGGTTCACATAAGAAACATATAACTTCGTGAATAATATAGATTCTATTACATATGATTGTCCTAAGCTTTAAAGTACTTTTAACCATGTCAAAGATTAGGTCTTAGCTTTGTCCCACTTCTTAGCACAGTCCTCTCGGTTGTTGTGCCAGGTGTACCTGGGGGGATGGTGACGTCACTGGACTCGTCTGACTCGGTGCCTCAGGGATCGTGGTAGTGTTCGTCGCTGCTGTCAGCGCTGACACGCCTACTCTGGTTATCAGCACTGATGTCCTGACATCGTATCTGCTCACTCGTTTCTTTAACACTAATAGCATCACTAGTATCTCGGCAATGGCAGTCCCTGTTCATTTTTTCCTTGTCCTGTCTCAAGTTATTGTTTTTTGTCTCAGAGCTTTGATTTCCTTTAAAAGCTCCTGCACATTTGTCACTATGGTCAGCTGGCGTGACGTCACTTCCACATGGTTTTGCGGGGATTCCCCGGCCAGGCCTGCGGTCATCCCTGCCCGAGGGTGAGGGACGGCCGCCTCGGCGGGCGCCTGGGGAGGGGGGGGACGCGGTCTTGAGCTCTGTGATGATTAGCATCATCTTGTCAACCTGCTCCTTCAACAACGCAACCGTGTCGCGTAGTTCGGCTACCTCTGCATCCCCACTCGCCGACAGCCCCCGGAAGTCTCTGCGGCTGGTGACGTCACACACGGCACGGCTGGGCACACCTCCGGCACGCTGGCCGCGGGTTGGGTTAGGAGGGCCGCGCTGGTCACTCGCGGTCGGTGCCGGGGCCACAGGGGTGGGGGGGAGGTGCCAGGGCAGGGAGGGCTGTGCACCCCCCAGTGCCAGGCAGTCACACCTGCCTTCCCACACCTGAAGCAGGATGGGACGAAGCTCGGTGCATCTGCAGCAGGCTCTCGCCCTGCAGCACTGCGAGGACACTCCTTGGCACTGTTGCTCGCCACATGCTTCGCAGCGTGCCTTATCCTTGCAATACTTAGCTACATGGCCGCTTCCCATGCAGTTGTAACATATGACGGGGGATGCCCTCCACGGCCGCACGTGGCTAGTGGCATGTATTTTCCGAAGAAATTGTGTGTACTTGGAGGGGGTTGCTCTCCTTTCCATACGATGCGGATTCGGTTTAATGGTTGGCCATCGTTGTACACTCGAATGCCTTGTGAACTCTATCGAGTGCATATGCGTTTTCAAGGTCAAGGTCCTTGTTATAATGTGTAATGAGGTATTCGTCATATTTTTCCGATTTCTTTTTTTCATCGCATGATTTGAAGGTAATACCTCCAATAAGTCCCCCAGTAAGGTTTTCTATATAGCTCTGCTGGGAGCGAGCGACATAGATTGTCAGGGGTTTTGTGTTGCCCTGCTTTGGTGGGTTATGGAGACACAATTCTGGTTCAGCTGTTTATTGATAGGAGGTGGCTGGTAGGTAGCGTGGCAAGGGTTGTTGTGGGCAAGGAAGTCCAAGAGGGGCGCCGAGCGGGGCACGCGTGGGGGAGCGCCCCAAGGAGAGGTGTGGTCAGGGCCGTAGGCCCCGGTCAAGAGTGCTGGGTCAACTGTCGCGGGTCGCGGGTCCCAAGCAGTGGAGACCTGGGAAGGTAACCCTTGTTCCTCAGATAGATATACGTTGAGGAGAGCGCGTCCCCTCGCACAAGGTCAATGGGTGTACCCCGCAGGTTCGAAGAGGGGTTGCCAAGGTCCTGTAGCCATTTCATCTTTTCTTTTTTCGTGTGCCTTCAGGGAAGGCGAGACGAATGTAGTCTTTCCTCGGTGCGAGTGGCGTCTTGCTGGCGTTAGTGGGCTCTTTTCTTTCTTTTTCGGGCCCACTAACGTGAAGCCGTCACCACCTTGGTCAGCGTCGGCGTCACTCACCTGGGCATCACCATCATTTTGTGCCTCTTGCATGGCGATGGGTTCAGCGGTCCTGTCCACTGAATTACAGGCTGAAGCGCACTTTTCAGCCGTGGGAGGGGTGGGACAGTTATCCCGCGAGTCCTCCCCCTCAGTGTTTACTTTGCGGTTTTCCCCATCGTGGGGGTGGTGACCGGGGCGCCTGGCTCGCCCGCCTCGTGACAGGTGAATTATGGCGCTCGGGACAACGGGGCACTCAATTCCAACGGTCACTAACACAGTACTTGGCACTCGGCGGAGGAATGAATTCAATTGAATTTAAAACATAACCATGTTCACATCACTACTCTCATGACGTTTCAATTGCGAGGTATATGCGCACCTAAAGATTCATGAACAATTTCCTCGTACATGACACCAGAGATCCATGTGTAAGGGGCGAGGGCACCGGAGCAGGGCATCACACGACCTTTTCGTGTGAGGACACGGAGTGTACTCGTCAGTCCGTAAACTTTCAAAAATGGCGGTTACATCCGTA